TGCCCACTGGATGGGCCGCATGTGCTGATGGCTGTGGAGCATGAGGCACCGACGCTCTTCCTAGAGGTTTCACGGGAAGAGAAAGGGTTCTACGGCTGGAAGGAGCACAAGTTCAAGGGTTTAGTTTTCTTTTTGGTAATGGGCACACTGGGTGCCCTCCCAATGCTGCCGGGTGTTCCGGCTCTGTCCTCCAGTTTGGACCAGCCAGTCCCCTGCCTCCGTTGCCCTAGGGTCGGGCGGGCAAGGGCTGGGCTCTAAGCACCAGGCATGCAGGTCTGTGTTTCTCACTGTGGTGCCCACACCTCGCATAGTGCTTGGCATTTAGTGGGTGCTCCACAAATGCCACTGGGTGAGGGAGTCTCCTGAGCGGGTCAGGGAGAGGCATGCCCCAGATGCACCGCTGGAAGCCCTGCTTCACTTGAGAGTGAGGCAGGCCTGGCTTTGAGTCCTGGTTCTGCCACTTCCTAAGGGGGTGACACCGGGCGGCTCTCTGGACTTCAGTTTCTTCCTTGGTGACATGGTGGGAATAATGTCTGCTGGCCAGGGTAGGAGCCCCAGGGGGTCCTAGGCACACGTGAGGGTTGTTATTAATGGGTAGCTGCCCTCGGTGGGCTCTGGGGTCAGGCTGCCACTTGATAGGCAGGACCCACCAGCGTTTGGAAAGAAAGAGGTTCCAGGGACTGAATTCAGCCCCCAAACTGGCTAGAAACATAAATGGCTGTGGTCCAAAGCCGTGTGACCAAACCCATCCCAGGGGCAGCAGTGGCAGCTGTTCTGAAAAATGATCATCAAAGTGGTTTTACTTTTTAATGACATTTATTGAGCATGTACCAAGGGCCAGGTGCTGGGCTAAGCACTTTCATTTCTCTCATTTAAACCTCACGCCAGTACCTCAGGTAGGTACTACTATTCCCATCGCACCAGGGAGGAAACGGGTGCAGAGAGGGAACGTTCTGGAACCCAGCCTCTAACAGCCACACTAGCCTGCCTCTGTGCTTTTTAGATTCCTCCCACTCATTGAACGTGTTCTACGTTTCTAAGGGCACAAAGAGCCCCTAGCTCCATGTCCTGGTGAGGAACACAGGGCCAGGAGAGGCAGCCACTCGCCCAGAAGCCCACAGCAAGTCTGTGGCCTTGCTCCAATCCCAGGGTGGGAATGGGACCGGGGAAGCTGGGGCACGGAGTGTCTCCGCCTACCTGCCTGGTTAGTGGTGATGTTGACGACAGCAGCCCGGCGGGGCTCAGGACTCAGGTCGGACACACCATTGACAGCCTCAATCCAGAAGGAGTAGTTCATGTGGGCCAGCAGGTTGGCCACCAGCAGGCTGGCCTGCACCAGGCTCGTCTGCTGGGGCACGAAACGGGTGCCGCTCCCACACGCCTCGCAGTGGCTCAGTGCCCAGGGGCAGCGGCGGCACACGGCATTGTAGGTGATGTCACTGCGGCCACCTGGGTCCAGGGGAGGGGCCCACTCCAGGGTCACCGATGTCCCATTCACACTGGAGATCAGATTCACTGGTGCTGAGGGTGGCCCTGGGGGGCAGAGGATGACAGGTGGGATGGAGGGTGTTTATTTAGGCAGGTCCAGTTTCCCCGTCATCAGACCAGAGGTTCCCCAAGGGAAGGGTTCCCCCATCACAGTTGGGGTTCCTTAAAAATAAGTCATGTCTACTCCATCCTCAGGAAGCTCCCCAAGGGCAGGGGGTTGTGTCTCTGCCATCAGACTGGGACCACTGTGTCAGGATCTGGGCACAGAGACCTAAGCACCCCCTCCCCTCTCCACCCAACAGGACCATCGGGATTCCGGGGTTGTGCTCCCCAAAGTTTCCATCCAGAGTGGGAGAGAGATGGCGCAGTCCTGGGGGTGCCCGCAGCAGCCACCCTGAGTGTGAAGTGACCCTGCCATCTGCATTCACACCCATTCCTTCAGCCCGCTGTGCAGGATTTAATGTAAAATGCCAATGAGCACGCACTGTGAAATAGAGTGGAGGCCCCAGGAAGCCCACTGCGTGTCTCCCATGACTGTGCGTGCCAAGTAATCGCTCCCTCCTCCCCCAAGAACAGGAGCCCCAGTCTGGACAGCACAAAGACCCTGGAGAGAGACCGGCAGCTCTTTGGTTGGGCAGACCATGGGAGCAGGACCGGGAGGCTGGGGTGGGCCCAGGGGGGTGGGAGTTTGAGCTAGGAGGGTGTGGGGACTGTGGGTACCCGTGGGTGTCAGACTCCCAGGCAGGGAATCTTAGCTCTTAAGAAAATAGAACCATAGGACTCAGAATCATAGACAATCTTACAATCTGAAGAGAAGAGAATTTTAAAGTCTGAAGGGTATGGAATACTAAAATCTCAGTCTTTTACAGTCTTAAGATTTCTAGAGCCTTAAGGCACTGAATTGTGGGTTTGGAAAGAAACTAGAGACAAGCCAGCTACATGCAAGTGTCCAAGACCTAGGGCCAGGCTCACCTTGCCTAAAGAGCCCTTGGCTGTCGCCAAGTCACTCAGCAGTCCTTTCTGCCCCTGCAGGTCCCACACGGGGTAAATGCATAGGTCTGGGCAGAACCGTGGAGGGTGGGCGGGCATATGCACACATGGGCGTGCATACACCTGGGCTCTCACCTGCCAAGTGCAGAGAGCCTGGGGCTGGAGGGGATGGAGGTGGGGGAAGGGGAGGAGCGGGTCGAGGCCGGGGCAGATTCTGGGGCAAAACCAGCCTGAAGTACCCTTCACCCACCACAAGAGCCCAGGGTCGGCAGATGAGGTGGGCTGAGAGGGCTGCGGCGCTTCCCCAGGCCTGGGACGGGAGTGTGAGTGGCCTCTCCATGGCAGGGGAGAGGAGAGCAGAGGAGCCGCATCAGCAGAACACAAGACAGTCACTCAGCCCTGCAGGCACGGGCGCCAGATCCCACCGGGTCCCCTCAGGTACACAAGGCACGTGCACCACACCGTCTCTAGGCACACGCTTCCTCACAGGGCCAGACATGCACATGCACTCACACACACAGAGCTCACAAGACACATCTGTTCAAGCTTTACAGGGACTTACAAGTGTCCTTCGGGTGCCCATCGGGTGCCCAAATGTGTACACGCACACATGCACTTGCACACACATCTATGGGTCCTTTATGTACATGAGCACAAGTGTACATTGCACGCTCGCACTCAGCATACAGACCCTCTGCAGACATCTTCTGGAGGAGCAGCTGCTGACACAGACACACGGAGGCACACAATTGCTGCAGGCATCCCAGGCGCACAATCACACGCACTCCACGTACACACACTCACACACACACACCACACACATGAGGCAGCTCCCAGCATCTAGCAGCCCCAACCAATTCATTAAGGATGGTGGGGATGGGGGTGCTGCTCTGACTTCCAGCCTCATCCCACAGGTGAATGCCCTGGCTTACCCACCCAGCCCCAGGACATCGGCATCACTGCTAGGTTGGAAGATGACCAACGCCACCCAGTGCTGGGAAGGGCATGGGTCCAGCTCTCGTGTGCCCTCTGAAGCAGAGAGGAGAAACCAAGGGAGAAAAAATGATTTCCCTGGAGAGATGGCAGGTGACACATGATAAGAGGCTGGGAGCCTAGAGAGGTCAAGGCTACTATTGAGGGGTCAGAGTCACACCCCCTCCACCCCAGACTGGCCCCTGGCCCAAAAGGACCATCTGCCCCTGCTCCAGCCACAGAGAACTGGCTGCCTGAGGCCCATGGGACCAAGCCCGGGGTCCTGGCCCAGTCTTGGTCTCGAGGGTGCTGGGGTCTGGGGGCGGTACTCACGGGTGCAGGCTGAAGATGGTGGGTCCAGGGCTGCACGGTAGTAGCTGAGGTCACAGCGGCAGGCCTGGGCGGCGGGGGCTGCAGAGTGGCTGTGTGGGGGGCAGCGGGCACACAGCTGGTCCCCAGGGGCCGACTTGTAGAAGCCCAGCTCACAGGCTGTGGAGGAGAAGGCTGCTACAGGTGAGCCAGCCAGGCCACACTGGCTGGCCTCGGGGACAGCTTTCACTCTGACACAGAGCTTCCTGGTGGGTCCCCCAGAGAGACAGAGGTGCAGACCTTCAGCATCACTCAGTGCTACTCTTTCGTGCTGAAGGAGGGACTGACGCACAGAGAGGGCCTGTGACTTACATAGGATTGCACAGCAAGTTGGGGCAGAGCTGAGGCTGGGACACTGACACCGGAGTCCCAGCCCCAAAGTCAGCAAGGGGCTGACTCAGCCCCACCCCTGAGCTTCTCCAAACTCCCCTGCCCTTCCTCCAGTGGACCCCTGCCATGCAGGCCCTGTGTCCAGCCTTAGATTTTGTCCTTTATGGGATGCTGATCCTTGGGCGAGACAGCAGCCTTAGGGGGCAGGGGCAAGGGGGATGAGAATCAAAGGAAGGGCCGAACCCCCAGGGATGTGACACGGGTGGGATGTGAAAGCAGGACAGGAAATGGGGGTGGTGGGAACGTGACAGGAAAAGAGACACGTGTTCCCAAACATGGGCAGACATGGAACCACCCCCATAGAAACAAAGATTCCCAAGTTAGAAGAGCCAGGGACAGGTCTGGGAATCTGTGTTTTACAAGCTCCCGGAGCAAGGCTGACGATGCAGGAAACGCAGGCTCCTCCCCTCCCAGGCTCGTGCCAGCTCAGTCACTGTGGCTGGGACTGCCTTGTCTCCTCTCGTATCCGACCCTCTCTCCAGCTGCCACCACCACCTATCTCTCACTTGGATGACTACAGCAGCCTCCGAACCCGGCCTCCAGCCCTGCCTCCCCAATCCCAGCTGCTGAAGTGTTCATGCATTCGGTCAACCACTCTTTAGGAGCGCAGACTCTGAGCCAGGCCTGTTCTGGGTCCTGGAGACACAGCCATGAATGAGAGCCCTCGGGGAGCTGGCATTTTAGAGGGGCAGATGCACAGTAAACAAGAAATACAGAGGACGAGGTGGCGAAGGGTAAGCGGGGGGAGGAGCTACCTTCCCCAGGGAGTTGTGTTCTGAAGGATAAGGACCAGTCAGCTGTGCAGGGAGTGGCAACACTCCAGGCAGCAAGAATCTCTAAAATGTGCACTTCACTCTGTCACTGCCTATTCAACCCTGTCATGGGCTCCACAGGGCCTAAACAAACCTGGCATTCAAATCCCTCCCTGCCAGACCAAACCCACCTGTAGCCTCCTTTAGTGCCACACTTCATCCCCCATCCTTGGGCCAAACTAAACCACTAGCCATTGCCCACACCCAGCAGGCTGTTTCCTGCCTCAGGGCCTTTGCACATGCTCTGCCTTCTTCCTGGGCTGCCTCTTCTCTTTAGTCCACCTGCTCAACTCCTCTTTCAAGATTTATTTTAACTGTCCCTTGGATGAGGCCTTTCTGGACCTCTGCACATATACACACACACAGAAACGACCTTCCCCTCTATGCTTCTGCAGTCCCCAGGGGTCTCATCACCTGTAATACTACGGCTACTTCTTTATCTGCGTGTCTGACTCTCCTTCTAGACTGGGAAGTCCTTGTGGGCGGATCCTGGTGAATAAGGGCAAGGCTGCCTTATTCATCTCAAAGTCCCCAGAATCTGGAACAGGACAGGACAGTTTTCAAACTGTGTGGATCCCACCATTATTTTCTCTGGGCAGAGAAAAACCCCAGAGGTTCAGGTGAACCAAGTGCCACCCAACCAGGCAGCTCCCAACTCCATCCATGGAACTGAAGTTCTCTGCAACAAGGACCACCAGGAAGCTTACGGGGACTCTCTCTCCACTAAATCCCATTCTCGAAAACTCAGTGTTGAGAGCAGCTTCATTTGAAAAGATGTCACGTCTTTTCAGAGAGCATTTCTTCTTTGGATGTTGATCGTATCTATTATAATAGCTAAAACCAGGTTCATTTGTAAAATTCTACAAACTTGAGAGAAAACCTGTAATCAGAAAAAATGGCAGTACCTTTAAGTTGCTTCACAGATACAGAGGCTGTGGAGCTAGAAGGGGCTTAGAGGTTGTGGGGTCAGAGAAAAGATGCCCTAGCTTTTAAGCATCTTCTCGTCCCCTCCAGGGGACCCCAAGAGGGCTCAGGCCTGACTGGGGGCTGGGCTCAGGGCTGGGAACTCGGAGTTGTGGGGCTCTTGGTTGACACACTGTGAACCTGCCTACTCATCCCAGAAGCCCCCTGGGGAAGCCAGTCCTGGGGCACAGCCTGGGCACAGGTGCCTTCTGAGCCCAGGGAGCCCGCAGAGGTGGTATTAGGAGAGGGCTTTGCAGTTTGTCAGCAAATATTTGTTGAACCTGTCATTGAGCTGAATGACGGTAATCCCCACTGCAATGATCGGACCCATGTTGATTTGCTTCTTGAGACCATTTGCTTATTTCTCCTCATTTACTCCTTCACCCATTTGCTCGTTGATCCCGAGATAAACAGGAGCTGTTCCTGCTCTCAAGGAACTTTCAGAACAATAAGGGAAGCCAAGTAAATCATCTTGGTGTGATTTATGGCATGAAGGAAACACAACACAACAGCTGTCCTGGCAAGTCCTTGACCATTTAGAGTTCACCTAGTCCTAATCAGTTAAGAACAGAAACTTGGGAGCAGGCTGCCTGGGTTCCTTTCTTTACCCCAGCTATATGGCATTGGGAAAGTTGCTGGAACTCAGTTTACTCATCTGTAAAATGGGGATAGTAATAGTATCTGCCCCATAGTGCTGCAATGAGGATTACATGAGTGAATCCATGTAAATTCATGACAGGACAGTGCCTGGCACTTACTATTATGACAATTTGGTGTAGTCGACATGAATACAAATGTTTGACAGAAGGGAAACAGGAGCTCAGGCCTCAGTGCCTTTCCCCAGGTTCCCAGCAGAGCCAGGATGCAAAGCCAGGTGAGGGAGCCTCCAGGCCATGGCCTTTGGCCCCGCAACCCCCATCCTAGAGCTTAGAGATGGCTGCGCCATTCTGTCGCTCACCAGGCGGCGGTTCTTAGTCGTTTGGCTAATACCCATATGGCTATAACGTGTCAAGGCCAGATTAATCCATGCAATGAAAATAAAATAATCTTTAATAAGAATACTAATCACCAGGCCTCAGGGAGCCCGGAGATCTGGAGGCTGGGCCGGGAATTAATGGCTGAGACAGATGGAGCAGCTCTGGGCTGGGGCCCGGCCCTGCCCGCCGACCTGGGGTGCTTCCGGAGCCTGCATGTGCTGGGGTGTCGGGCTGTGGGCCAGGAGGGGCTGCTGCCCCTGCCGAGGGCACCTTGCCCAGGCTGCCTGTCAGGCCGGCAGCTGCTTGCAGCCCCGGCCACCTCTCTGCTCTCCCCTGCAAAGAGCTGGAGATTTGACAAATAAGGTGTCCGCCGGTGGACGACCAAAGGAAATTAATTCTAAATCAGATTTTAAACACAGTCAGGAAGGCAAAAGAGCTCGTTGTTCATGCTCCCCCTCCGAAATGAGACTCTGATATTTATAGAAAGATGATTAGGGTGGAGGGTGATTTATATTCTGCGTCCAGGTGACAGGAAGGATGGCAACCAGGACTTCAGACTCCAGCTGCTGCTCTACTGGGTGTTCAGAGGGGTCTTTGTCCCTTTCTGGAGTGAGCCAGAGGAGGGGGGAAGCTCACTGGGTCAGGAACCGTGCAGTGTGGGGAGCTTTCTGGTCGGGGGATTGGGAGATTTGAGATCCCATCAGCCACTTCTCGCTGTGTGCCCTTGGGCCGGTCACTTCACCTCTCCGGGCCTCCAATTCTCCACTAGTAACCTGGCCTAGCTCCCCTTGGCTCTGACATTTTCCCATGGGGCTCTGAGGGCCAAGTGCAATCTTAGCATGGCCTCTACAAAGCCATGTGACGACTAGGTCCCTTCTTCTCCTGGGCTTTATTGTCTCCCCCTGCAAAATCGAGTGCCACCTGACCACCTTTTAAGGGGATCACTGAGGGCAAAACCAGCAAGACAGGAAACCTGCGCCTGGTCCCTGCCTCAGGCCTCAGGCTCTGGACCCCTTCCCCTATCTCTAGAAGGAAGGGGGCTCAGGGCTGGGCAAGCTGGGACCCCCTCTCCCTGCCCTTCCTTTCCTCGCCTGTTTGCTCCGAGAGAACTGGCCAGCAGAGAACAGGAGGTCCTCAGACTGGCCAGGGCCCCACGGACCTCAAGAGGTTTCTTGAAGACCCGCTCAGGCTGGGCAGGGGCAGCCGCAGCTTTGAAAGGACGTCTCACATAGCCCAGGAAAGGCGTCCCCACTTTGTGTCCAGCTCCTGCTTGGCCCCAGGCTGTCCACCAAGGAGGCAGTGGGGTTCCAAGGAGGACAAGGGCTTCTCATGGGTGGGGAAGGGGGACACTGGCAGGGCTGCTGGGCCCTGCTCCCATCCGTGAAGGTGCCCAGTTTGGGACCTGTGCTGCTCTTCCCAAATGACATTACCCAGACAATCACAAAAGGCCACCAGCAGGGTGGAGAAATCTCTCTCCTCGTGTGACTTAAACTGGCATCCTGTTCCCAAATCTCAGTGCCTGCAGTGCACTATGAATTAATATTTTTTATAAAACCTGTAATTATCTTGCAACTGGCATAATTATGTTGTGTTATGATTTACGTGTAAAATTCAAAATATGCTCCCATTCCCTAACCCTGCTTTGGCATTTCTTTATTATTTCTTATTAATTTGCTAGCAGCGCCAGCAAATGAGAGTGTCCTTGGCTGCTCCCGGCTCTGGGAGGTCCCACTGTTCAGGCCCTGGGATCTCCACCAAGACCCCTGCCCTTGGTATGCTGTGCAAACTTGGGTAAGACACATGCCCTCTCTGGGCTCTACTTCCTACCTCTGCCAAACAAGGAGACTGGAGCATTATCTGAGGCCTCCAACAAGCTTCCCACCCTGAAGTCAGGAGGGCATTCTCCTCTCTACAGGCAAGTGTGTCTCAGTGAACACCAAACAAACGCCTGGCTTATTTGCCCTTGCTGGCTAAATTCAGAGTTGGAAGGATTGGGGGCAGCGGCTGACATCTAGTGGGTATGCAATGGCCAGCCAGCCTGACTGTCATGACTTATGCTGTACCAGTGACTAACGCTCTGAACGTTCCCCCAGGGAGGAGGGGAGTGGGGCTTTGAAGGGGGCTTTGTGGACAGAGGAAGCAGGTCAGAGCTCTGGAGTCAGGCAACCTGGGATCAGATCCTGGCCCTGCTCCTTAAATTGAGGGGCCTCAGCTTTTGTCACCTGTAAAATGGGGATATAATACCTAGCTTAGAGGACTGTCATAAGGATGAGAAACTATGTGAACTCACTGAAGGCAGGGACTCCCTGTGCCTATATCTATTGAGCATCTACTGTGTCCTGGGCACCAGGGACACAGCAGATGCTCAAGAGGATGAATAACTGATGTAACATGCAAGAGGACTTATTAAAGTGTGGCACGTGGCAAACACTTGAAAAATTTAAGCTAAGGCACTTTATTATCCCCATCAGAGGGGACGTTGCAAGCCAGCTCTGGCAGGGAAGGCCAGGGATAGGGTAGAAGCCAATACCTGGCTCAGAGCAATACAGACCTGACTTCACGTCCCAAGTCTCACCAGCTGTGAGACCTAAGCAGGTGACACTACCTCTTGCGTCTCAGTTTCCCCAGTTGTAAAATGAAATTATAATACCTGCCTTGCTGCAATGTGTGAGGCACCCCCTTGTAAGCGTACAAGCAATAGGGTGCTTGTTGTTTGTATTACCCAGGGCAAAGTTGAGAGGTATAGGGGTGTCTGTGATGGGAACCACAAGAGGCTGGTGGCTGCAGAGGGCAGAACAAATCCGGAAAAAGACAAATGTCACAGAAGGTGCTTTGGGGCTCAGGGTGTAGGACAGGTGAAGACTCATGGCAGTTTGGAGCATGAAGAAAGATTTAAAACAACCAGAGGCCCTCGGGGAAGGGCTGGAAAAAGTCTGGTGGCTGGGGGAAGATCCTGGTCCCTGAGATCCCTGGGCAAGACGACTCCTAAGCTGGACCAGGCTGGACTCTGTAACTACCTGGGTATCACCTGAAATTGTCAGCCTGTGCCCTGCTTGGTTCTGTTAGCACAGAGAGGCCCTTCCTGCCTGTTAGAGGCAGAGGGATGGGTGCTGAGGGGGATAGAGGGACAGAAGGTCCCCCTGATTGTGGCCTAGGGCCTGTGTGGTAGCAGCAAAAGGCCAGGAAGATATTCCCAGTGGCTGATAGGGGCCCAGTCCCGGTTTTCACTGAAGGTGTCTGGGGACAGGCTCTAGTCTCCCTGATCCCTGTGTAGGCACCCCCCCCACACACACGCTTCACCTCCTCAGCCCAGGGGAACCAACGGTCTCGACAGCCAGGTTTCACTACTCTGGGCGGCTGAGCCACCATGTGTCCAGCCCCTGGGGAGACCAAGGAGGGCAGAGGGAAATGAGGCCGAGACCAGCACCAGCTGGGGCACCAGCTGTCCATCCACACGAGCCCTCCCAGTGCTCTCAGGACGCCTGGCTGCACAGCGCCCACACGGGGCTGCTGACCACACACATGCACACGTGCACGCATGCATGCACGCATGCTGCCCGGGGCCTGGGCTCCCCCACGGGTGTGTCCTGCTCCTGGCTCTGACGCGGGGACCCCAGCAGGACACCTGTGGGCACAGGTGCCACTCTAGTCCATGACCCAGGGCTCTGTGCTGGCCTCCTTCACAAGGATCTTGGCTGTCCTCTCCCACAGGTCCCTGAACACAGGCAGCCTGGTTCAGGTGCCCAATGACCCAGCCCAGCCTGTACTCCGGCGTGACCTTGCCCACATTCACAGTGTCCCCTTACTGTGCTCATCCCCCAAGGCCCTGGTTCCATTTTCCTCTCCCCACAGGTTAGAAGTTTAGTAGTTTCCAGCACAGACTCTGGAGTCAGACTCCTGGGTTCAGATCATAGCTCTGCCACATCCTAGCTGTGTGACCTTGGGAAAGTTGCTTCACCTCTCTGTGCCTCAGTCTCCTCATCTGTAAAACCAGGATAATCATTCCTTTATCACAGGGTAGTGGTGGAGATTAAATGAGTTAATATATGGAAAATGCTTAGAAAAATGCCTGACAAGAGTGAGCCCGCAGCATCATTCTTTAACCCTCCTACGTCCCCCATAGCATACCCAGTCACACAGATGCCCTTGGCTGTACCCTCCACAATGCCCACCGAGGGTACCACCTGGCTGCAGTCTGTTTTGCTCCCTTCTCCCTCCCCACCATTCCCCAACACACACACAATCACATACATACACACACACACACACACACACACACACACGCACGCATGCACATAGGTGGCCTGGTGTATTTGCTGACGCAGGAACACTGGAGATTTCCCCATCTTCCCAGGTGATGTGTGCACCACCCAGATGCCTGTTGACCATGATGTTCCCCCGCAACCCCCCCCACACCCCAGCAGCCCTGTCCAGACCGAGCCCACCTGCCACGTGCCCACGCGTGGTGCGCTCACCCACACAGGCATCCCGCCGCTCCTCGTAGCCGGCGCTGCACACGCACTTGCCAATGGGCACCAGCCACTCGCCCTCGGCGCTGCAGTACATCTTGGGTGTGTCCCGCTCCTCCGAGTGCCGCACGCACTGGCCCCGCACCTCCACCAGCGAGGACGAGTCGGCCCCTGTCACTGCCTCCGAGAAGGCAGCCAGATTGCGCACCATGGCAGGGCACTTCTTGTAGTAGATGCGGAGAGAGAGGATGGCAAGGCAGGCACCAATGTCCTGGAAGGCCAGGTAGAAGCCGCGCTTGCTGAGGGGACCCACACCGCGCACCTCTGTGTTGAGCTTGAGACGCCGCACACCTAGGTCGGCGCCGGTGAAGCTCTCGTCGGCCGCAATGGTGTCGATTTTGAGGAACTGGCTTTCTTGTGTGCTGGCACCCAGGTCGCGGTCTGACTCCAGGTAGTAGAGATTGAAAGTCTCTTTGCAGGTGCCCAGCACACCAGGCATGCTGTTGCAGTCACGCAGGGTAAACTTGATCTCAGCGTAGACGCGCCGGGCACCATCGCGGGGCACCCAGCTGGTGCGCAGCCAGTTGTTCTGGTTGGGGCTCATGACGTTGCACACCTGGTACGTGTGGATGGGCTGGAAGGACTCGTCCACCTCGTTGATGGAGTCCCACTGTGGAAAGAGAGAACACAGCTCGCTAAAGGAAAGTCAGCACCTCGCCCTCTTTTGCTAATCACCATGCCACAAGCCATGTGCATTGTGCTGGGGAGTCCTGGGGAAGAAGACTAAGGAGCTGACCATCTAGTGGATTGCATATCTCTGGATGCCAGGCACCCTGAAGATGTGATCTTGCAGAGGGCCATGATCCTCCTGGGCAAGTGTTATTCACCGACTTTTTACAGATGAGGAAACATAGCTAGCCAGTGATGGCGCATGGACTGGAGCTTAGGCCTGTCTGATGCCAAAGCTCTGACCTCATTTCTATATGGCTAGTCCTGTCATTCCCAGAGCTGGGGGACTTGCTGGAGGAGGTCCCAAGTCCAGCTTCCACATAAGCTGCTAGAAGATCTTTCTAATCTATGAACCAGACCATGTCTTGCTACCGCCTCAAATCCTTCAGCGGCCCCTGCTGCACTGGTGCTTGCTGAGTGACTGCCTGATCCACGGACTCCCTCTGCCCTGCTGTTCTTGCTGCTCCCCCTGACCCCGCCTAAGGCAGGGGGCTCATGGGCTGGCCTGGGTCCCACTTCAGGGAATACCAGGACGTGGGAGAGTTGAGTGGGAAGGCTTCTGCACTGGTTGCCAGCCAGGCATCAGTGATTTGGAAATAAACCACACTCTCAGAGTAAAAAGTCGACCCATAAAACACACACACACACAAGATCACAAGTGTTGGTGAGGATGTGGCGAAATTGGAACCCTCGTGCACGGTTGGTAAGGAGGTAAGATGGTGCAGCCGCTACGGAAAACAGTGTGACAGTTCTTCAAAAAATTAAAAATAGAATTACCATAGGATCCAGCAATGCTGGGTATATGTCCCAAAGAACTGAAAGCAGGGCCTCGAAGAGATATGTGTACACCCATGTTCATAGCAGCACTATTCACAATAGCCAAAATGGGGAAGCAACCCAAGCATCCATCAATGGATGGGTAAACAAAATGTGGTACAGACGTACAATGGGATATTATTCAGCCTTAAAAAGGAAAGAAATTCTGGGCCGGCCCGGTGGCGCACTGGATAGTGCACCGCCTGGGAAGCGCGGCGGCGCTCCTGTCCGAGGGTTCGGATCCCACATACAGACCGGCTCCCGCTCACTGGCTGGGCGAGG